AGGTGATAATTTAGCAACTGAGTACTTTATTCTCAGTTTGCTGTGAACCTGAATTTGCTCTAAAAAAGGAAAATGTATACATAAAGCAGACACAGCAACAGGTAGGTCATGTGTAACCATATGAAGTTAACATGCTAAATACCCCTTTTTGTGTGATATGTGCTTGCTGAGAACTAGTATAGATTCAGAACCTTCCTATGAGATTAGTAAATATATTTTGACATAGGTGGTTAGAGAATGGATACTTGATCAAATGTAATTTTTGAGTCAAAAGAATATGATGCCAAATAGAAATAAATTAAGCAAAAAATAAGTGCAGTTAGGATTTTGAGCAGTCAGTCATTATCTGACTCCACTGAGGTGACTATTTTGAGAATCTAAGGGAGCAAAGGCTAGAGCAGAGATAAGAGATAATTGTAGTGAGAGATGCTTTCTTGCACCAAGGGGGTGGGGAGTGATGGAGGTGGTAAAGAGTGGTCAGATTCTAGATTTACTTTGAAGGTGAAATGTACAGTATTTGCTGGTTGGTTGGATGTATGATGTGAGGGACAAACAAAGGATAGCTGAAAGTTTTTTTGCTGGAGTAGGAAAACTATGGGAAAGAGCAGGTTTCAGAGAGACAACCAGTTCAGTTTTGGCTTTATAGACATCTTAGAGCATCATATTATATGTTGTTTCATATTTACAATTTTCAGTTATAGCAACATATATTCAACATTATTGCATTCAATGCTGGGCACCATCCCATATAAGTACTTAAGAGTATACTGCATTTCTTTTAACAGTTCCCTTAATTGTTGTATTTGAAAAACATGTGCCGGGGGCTGTTGTATGCCCTTTACAAATATTAACTCAATTAATACCAGCTTTGATAAACTATTACTATTCTTCAACTATAAACAAGGAAACTGAGGCCCACAGAGATTAATATACCCAAGGCAGCATAAATTAGAAGTAGTAAAGTCACTAATTTGTAGTCTTTGTAACTATCATAATTCATTTAAATAACCGCCTAATGACAAGTTTGGATTTGTTTCTGATTTGGGAATTATTAAAAGATGTGTTCTATAGAATAGACATTTTCGTATCTTGGGCACTGGTATGTCTCTGTGGGATAAGAAAGAATAGTAATACTGGGTCACAGGATATACGCATTGCTTATTTTAATAGGTACCATCAGTATGACCTGCGCAAAGAGTGATTTCATTTTACCCCCTATGATGCTGCCTTTTTTCTTTCCTTTTGTAATTGTCCAATTCAATAACATTTTTTGCTCATCTCCCTGTAAATTTTAATGGTGGCTAGTACAATTTGTTTGTAATGTTCCTAAGTAATCTCTTTAAATCCTGTGCTATATGTTGAACTTGAAGCAGTTGTCAAAGGATTAAGCCAAGGAAAGTGCATCTGTGAGTGGGTATGTTCTGATTTTGGATGGGAGGGAAGCTGCACACACAATCAGGTCACTAACTCCTCCCCAAATGCTACTGCTGTCTTGACTTGACACTTTAAATTAGTTTTAGATTCATTTTGTATTTCTGTGAGCTTTGTATTCTTTTGCTTTTGCTTTCCCTCAATATCCTGTTTGTGAGATTTGTCTATGATACTATGTATAGCAATTATTTGTTCATTCTCTTTGCAGTATATAATATTCTAGTACATGAGTTTTTATCCATCCTGTTCTTTACAAGCATTTGGATTATTTCCTTGTTAAGATTATTACAAATAATACTGCTTTGAGCATTGTTTTAAGTGTCTTGGTGAACACATATGTACTGCCCAGCAATGAATTTGTTTTGTCATGGGGTTGGCAAATAGCCAACTTTATTAAATATTCCCAAACAATTTTCAATTTGGGTGTACCAGTTTTTCTTTTCTTTTCTTTTTTTTTTAAATGATTTATTTATTTATGATTACAAGAACTGGGGTACAGGCCAGAGGTGTGGAAGGTGAGAGGATTCACCAGAGACGGAGCGGGGAGTAGAACAGGCAGACTGACTGAAACATACTGCTGAGGGGAGCAGCAGGTGAGACAGGAGAGGTCTGCTGCGCCATGTGGGTAGCTCCCTGGCCAGGGATCAAACTTGCACTACAGAGGCTGCGGACAGCTTCACAGCGCTGCACTCAACCCCTTGCGCCACTAGGCAGGCCCCCAGTGTACCAGTTTTTCATCTCACCAGCAGTACATGAGAATTCATTTGGTCTACATTTTTACTAGCATTTGAAGTTTGTGTTGTTCACTTTAGCTAGTCTGACAAGTATATAGTGATATTGTATTTTGGTTTTAATGGACATTTTCCTGATGATTAATAAACTTGGATACTTATTTTACTTGGCAGTTTGAGATCTTTGAGTTGAAGTATCTGACTGGGTTCTTTCCATAAGAACAGAGGGGTTTTTGACGTAAAAAGGAGTACTTTCTGTACCTCCTCCTCCTACCTCAGTGAAATTTTAAAGTAGACTCTAATGTATAAAACATAAAAGGAGTAATTTTTGATAATAAGTATAGCATGGTAGTTAAATCAGATTCTGGACCCCGACTCCTCCACGAGGAATTCTAGTTTTGTCATTTACTGCCTGTATGAACTTGGGCAAGTTACTTGTGACCTCTATTGGCTTCAGTTTATCTCTAAAATGAATGCAATACTTTCGTTATACAGTGAATGTCAGGTTCAGAAAAGTTTATATGAAGTATTGAGGTCACAGTGTATGGTACATAATAATCTCTTTGTAATTTTATTTATTTATTTTTAAATCACCTATTTTTCAATAGATTCAGTTTTTTTTTTTTTTAAAGATTTATTTATTTATTTATACAAGCACTGGGTACAGTCAGAAGCGCGGGAGTGTGAGAGAATTCACCAGAGCCAGAGTGGGGAGCAGAACAGGCAGAAGGACCGAAGGACACTGCTGAGGGGAGCAGTGGGCGGCAGGTTAGGTCTGCACACCATGTGGGACCCTCCCTAGTGGCCAGGGATCTAACTGGCGCTGCACAGGCTGCAGGCAGCTTCGCAGCCCAGCGCTCAACTGCTGTGCCACCGGGGGAGGCCCTCTTTGTAATTTTAGCTGTTATGTTTGTAGTGGTGGTGGTGAATTCATATCAAATTAGCCTGATGAGAATGATGAGACGCTACTGTTGAGCACCACGAGAACATGTCCAGCATCCATAACCCTCAAGGTTATGGGTGACAGTTGTCGTTTTAGCCCGAGCCTCCAATTTTCAGTTTTGGTTGCATCATGCCATGAAAAATCTCAATTCCTGCAGATGAGCAATTAAACATAGATGAGGTACATCTAGCAATCTTAAGAGTATGCCTTCAGATCAGTTTGACAAGAAGTAGTAAAGGTTTGTTTTGAAATTGTCACTAAATATTTATAATTTGCTTAGATTTCCTATTTTCAAACAAAAATCACAGAAGTAACACTAAAAATTATTTTTTTAAATATTTATTTATTTATACAAGAACTGGGGTACAGGCCAGATGCACAGGAGGGTGAGAGGATTCACCAGAGACAGAGCGGGGAACAGAACAGGCAGATCTACTGAAATACACTGCTGAGGGGGGCAGTGGGCGAGACAGGAGAGGTCTGCCACACCATGTGGGACCCTCACCTGGCCGGCCAGGATGGAACTGGTGCTACAGAGGCTGCGGACAGCTTCACAGCGCTGTGCTCAACCGCTGCGCCACCAGGGGAGGCCCAACACTAAAAATTATTATGGCTTTAATTAATATCTATGTGTTATCACAATATATCTGCAAGCAAGTTTGCTTATTACTGCTCTCAACCACAGGACAAGATGAATCGTGCAAATTCTCAACCCTTGCCTGAGGTTATAAAATATGTTCCATAGGTACTATAGTGTGAATTTATTAACTGGCACAAATTAATGAGCCAGTGTATCAGCTTGATTAGAAACAAGTCAAACTACATGTTTTTCTATTTGATGGCATATTTTCAAGATATTCAAATAAAGGTGGCAAGTAAACCAAAGAGACTTTACTAGACAACACAAATTATGTCATATGTTAATATTAGGCATATGAAACATTTTTGTATGTCACTGTAGTTACTTGTACAGCCATCTGACACACTCATAGGCTATCACAAACAGCCTTGCATGTTTGCAGCCAGCTGATCCTTATACCACAAGACCATTTCCAACTTATCTTAAGATTTTCAAATAGACTTAAATGAGCATTTTGACAACCTAACTCCTCTAGCGTCGCCTTTATTTCTCCACACCAGATTGTCTCCAGTTGCTCCTGAGTATGTGATCTTCCCAGCTCACCAGCCCCCACTACGTCTACCCGGTGTGCTTTTCTGTTTCCTTTTCTGTGGTAATGGTGCCTACTATACTTTCGTCATGATCTACCTTGAGCTCTGTAATTTTATGGACTATGCTTTCTTTCAGAATCACACCTCTCTGATAACATTCTTTTCTATGTAAGCCTGTTCTGGCATTCTATTTCTCAGGATCTAAACCTTTTATTTATTTATTTTTTTAAATAATACAGCAATAAATTATACTCTCTACCCCAAATCAGTGCCATTCACAAACTCCACCAGCAGAGGGAGCTAAATAAAAGAAGATGAGTGCTTGAAATTAAGACCTGAAGCAGAATTTACAATATTTCATATCCTGCTCAGTGAAAAAGAGCTTGGATAATGTTAGAAATCAATAATTTGGGGCCTCATACCAGGTTGAGACTGTTATGAAATATTTGTAAAGTGGTTTTGAAAGAGACAATTTTGTATATTAAACCCTATTTAGGAAATGACCTGATAAACATATATATATGCATATTAGGAGAAACAACCTCATATTTAGTTTTTAAATTCTGTTTATCTCCTCGCATCTAGCTTGTGAAGGATTTCATATAGAGAATCAAGTCCTAAAGTTGCTAAGGATTGTTATGGATAACCCATTCTAAGTTTTAAACATGGAATTTTCAAATAAGTATTTTTTTTGTTCTGATTAAGTGTATGTTTCTTAATTTCAGTTAGCAGACTTGAAGAAAGAGAAGCAGAACTGAAGAAGGAATACAATGCACTGCATCAGAGACACACTGAGGTAGGTTTCTGTTTACTATGCTAATATTGAAACAAAGAAATTAACCCAAGAAAAAAATATATTAATTTTTCCCTGAAAACCAGCTGATAGAATGCTTGGGGATTATGTCCAGAAAGCATTACATTTCATATAGCATTTACCTAGCTCGCAGCTGTTGACTTTGATTGTTTCTTACCTAGAATTCACTTTTTCTGTGGTAAGTTAGCATGCTACAGAAACATACATTCGTTGGGCCTCCCCGGTGGCGTAGTGGGTAGAACGCAGCACTGTGAAGCTGTCCACAGCCTCTGCAGCGCCTGTTCGATTCCCAGCCGGCCAGGGAGATTCCCACATGGCGAGGCAGACCTTTCCTGCCTCGCCTGCTGCTCCCTTCAGCAGTGTGCTTAGGTCCTTCTGCCCGTTCTGCTCCCTGCTCTGTCTGGTGAATTCTCTCACCCTCCCGTGGCTCTGGCCTGTATCCCAGTGTTTGTATAAATAAAGAAATCTTCAAAAAATATATACACAAAGATTAAAAAAAAAGAAGAAAATGTAATCATTAAGATAGTCCCAGCAGTTCTTTCTTTGATTGGCTGGTACAGACTTAGTAACATGATGCTAATATAGGAAAATTGATTGGTTACCAGTTGAAAAATAATGGATTGGTAAATTATTGGTAAGAGTCTGTACATTTTTTTTTTAAACTTTTTTTTTTAAGATTTATTTATTTATACAAGCACTGGGTACAGTCAGAAGCATGGGAGGATGAGAGAATTCACCAGAGCCAGAGAGGAGAACAGAACAGGCAGACAAAGTACACTGCTGAGGGGAGCAGCGGGTGGCAGGAGAGGTCTGCGTGCCATGTGGGACACTCGCCCAGCTGCCGAGGATTGAACAGGCGCTGCAGAGTCTGTGGGCAGCTTCGCAGCTCAGCGCTCAACCGCTGCGCCACCAGGGGAGGCCCAAGAGTCTGTACATTTTTAATCCAGTATTAAGGACTTGTTTGCATTAAGCTCATAATATAAATATAAATTATTATGTGATAAATCAAAATGACTTTAAAAAGGGCTTTCTGAATGTTCCTTCAATATTTTATTATTATTTTTAAAGATTTACTTTATTTATGCATAGAAGAACTGGGGTGTAAGCCACAGGTACAAGGTGTATGTGCGTGTGTATGTGAGAGGATTCACCAGAGACAGAATGGGGAGCAGAATAAGTGGATCCACTGAAACCCACTGCTGCAGGGGACAGCAGGTGAGATGGAGAGGCCTGCGGAACCATGTGGGCCAGCTTCCTGGCCAGGGATCCACCTCCTGCTGTAGCTGCTGGTGATAGCTTGATAGCATTGAGATTTTAGCCCTTGCGCCATCAGGGTGGCCCTTTTTCAATATTTTAAACTAACAACTCCAGCATATAAACTATCTGAAGCAAATTAGAAAGTATTCTTGAAGTTTTTTAACCTTTTTATGATTATCTGCCAGCCAATCACATGCTGTTTCTATCTTAGTAATGTCAAAATTAGTTTTGTTTCTCATGTTCAGTCTGGGTTTCATATACCTAAACAATTGTTACACGGAAAAAGTAATTTCTCCCTTTTTCTAGTCCAAATGCCTCCCATAAGGTGAGTGGGTGCAAAATGTTGGTGGCGACCTCTGTACAGCATTGCCGGGGGCCGGGGTTGTGGGTGTGGAGGTCTTCTGTCAAGGTCATAGCACGGATGATTCCAGTCTTAAGCTCTTGTTTTTCTTTCACTGGTTTGTGTGATCTCTTAATCCTTCCCCTGGTAGAGGCCTACATGGTTGCTTTTATGGGGATAAAACGCCACTGCATTCATTTTCATTTGCTTTGTAATAATGTAACATTTTCTTGGGTAGTGGTTGGAATTTCTTCCTGACATGAGGCTTGATTATTACAGTCTTACTTCACTTAGCCACACCGGAAGCAATTGTCACAGAATTGATATTCAATGGTAGAGGGAAAAGATTGGCCATGGAGAGCTAGACTCCTCGAGCTCTCAGAAGACCGGAACTGCTTACGTGACTTTTTCAGTATGTGAAAAATATGCACAATTTAATAATAAGATGGCATTTGATAGATATTAAGACTAAAACAATAGGTTGTCAAAACCTACTCTTGGTTCTTTTTTTTTTAAGATTTATTTATTTTATACAAGAACTGGGGTACAGGCCAGATGCTCAGGAGGGTGGGAGGATTCACCAGAGACAGAGCAGGGAACAGAACAGGCAGGCTGACGAAATACACTGCTGAGGGGAACAGCGGGCAACAGGAGAGGTCTACTGTGCCATGTGGGACCCTCGCCGGCCGGCTGGGATGGAACCGGTACTGCAGAGGCTGTGGACAGCTTCACAGCGTGGCGCTCAACCGCCTGCACCACCAGGGGAGGCCTACTCTTGGTTCTTTTTATACCATTTATTTTAGTGCGTGAACAATACCCTGTATAGGTAGGTAGTGCTTATCAGTGCTGATAATTGCAATGAATATGTGACTGGGGAATATGCTTATGTCCTATAAATAATTGCTAGTAACAAATAATGAATAATTATTTTGTTCTTTCATTGAAGTTCTAGCCTTTGTAATAATTTGAATGTATGTATAAAATATACATACTCTTAGAAATCATTGTAAAGTCAAATTTCTTATTTTTTCTCATTTAATAAAAGTAAACATATGTTTCTATAGAAAAGAAACGGCCTGACACCTTAATTTCAGTGAAAAGATAAAATAATTTTTCTTTCTATTTCTATTCCTCAGAGGATAGTCTAGTTCTGTTTTATGATCTAACCCACATTTTCTATGTGTACTAGAAATGCCATTCAATAAGCATTTATAAATAGCTACTCAGTGCTAAGGAGCTAGGTGTCCTTTGAGGACATGTTCTGGAAACCCTCAGAGAAAGGAAGTCTAAGGATTTAACCATAATCTTTTTACTGTTACTTCTGTTAACAAATGATAGGGCCAAAATAGAGTCATTTGTGCCAAGTCCACCAAGACTTAATAACCTGACCTAATTGCAGTTATAACCTCCACCAAGTATAGTTGTAATTGGTCTGTGTAGAATTTTCAGGTTAGTGACCTTGAAGAAATACTTTCTATCCCCAAAGGATGTTAATCTGCCACACAGACCCCTTCCATTCCCCATAGGTAGATTAACTGATTATAATCTTTTTTCATCTGCAGCTTCCTCACATTGTCTTTAAAAGCCTTTCCCTTTCTGTAGCCACTCAACCACTCTTCTCCTTACCAGTTGGACATGGCCTGATTCATGAATTGTTTACAAAAACAATTAAATCTTTAAATTTACTCACTTAGGTATTTTTTATTTAACATTTCCAGGAAAGGTAATTGTTTTTTTTTTTTTTTTTTGCAGGCACACAAAGATGTTGTATAAATAGCTCTTTTAAAGAGATTTTTTTTTATAGAGGCATGTTATTTATTTATTTGTTTGTTTTTTGTTTATACATGCACTGGGTACAGTCAGAAGCGTGGGAGGGTGAGAGAATTCACCAGAGCCAGAGCAGGGAGCAGAGCAGGCAGAAGGACCGAAGTACACTGCTGAGGGGAGCAGTGGGTGGCAGGAGAGGTCTGCGCACCATGTGGGACCCTCCTCCAGTGGCCGGGGAGCAGCCGGGGATCGAACCGGCGCTGCAGAGGCTGCTGGCAGCTTCGCAACCCAGCGCTCAACCGCTGCGTCACCGGGGAGGCCCTAAATAGCTCTTTTACCCAAACACATTGTTGGCTTTTTAAGGGAAAACTACTATGGTTGGGTCTTCTTATGCAAAAATAATTGTTCATTAATCAAACCCAAAATTCTGGGCCTCCCTGGTGGCACACGGGTTAAAGTCTCAGCACTTTCAAGCTATGGCTAGCCTCTGCAGCCTGAGTTCACTCCCCAGCCTGGGAGCTGACTCACATGGTGCAGCAGACCTCACCTGTCCCTCCCGCTGCTCCCCTCAGCAGTTTATTTCAGTAGATTTGCCTGTTTTGCTCCCCACTCTGTCTCTGCTGAATACTCTCATACACCCCACAACCCAGTTCTTGTATGCATAAATAAATAAAAGCAAATCTTAAAAAAAAAATTCTGTGCACACTACTACTGAATTTGTTTAAAAGAAAACATACCTTAAAGAAAGCAGTGGCAGAAATATGGACTTTAAGTAATTGTGGGGCACTGGAGCCAAGTAAGTAAATACTCTCTAACTTGCTAAAATTTGAACCCAGAACTCATATGAGGGAGTGTTTAAATGCATTTTCATTTCATCCTCTGACCAAACTCTTATCAGCTATTTCCATTTTACAGATTGAAGTTTTTTTTTTTTTTAAAGATTTATTTATTTATAGAAGAATCGGGGTACAGGCCAGATACGCAGAAGGGTGGGAGGATTCACCAGAGACAGAGCAGTGAACAGAACAGGCAGACTGACAAAATACACCGCTGAGGGGAGCAGCAGGCGAGAGAGGAGAGGTCTGTTGTGCCATGTGGGACCCTCGCCGGCCGGCCGGGATCAAACCAGCGCTGCAGAGGCTGCAGACAGCTTCACAGCACTGCGCTCAACCACCTGTGCCACCAGGGGAGGCCCAGATTGAAGTTTAGAAAGAAAATATTAAGTGATTTCCCCCAAATTCAATGCTAGTATGTAACTGGATTTGAACCCAGTTCTGTTGCCTGAATTTTCAGCGATGTGTTAGTTAATGGAACACACAGATATTAAATACACCAGAAATTTTTCTGTGCCTCTTTGCTTTGTGGCATTTCAACAACTTTAATCTTAAGAACAGTGCCTTTGCAGATACTTGGACTGCATATGGAAAGATTTAAGGAACACAATAAAGGGATTCATGTCACTTACCAAATCCTCACTATTTTTTTTTTTTTTAAGATTTATTTATACAAGCACTGGGTACAGTCAGAAGCACGGGAGGGTGAGAGAATTCACCAGAGCCAGAGAGGGGAGCAGAGCAGGCAGAACTGCGCGCCATGTGGGACCCTCCTCCGGTGGCCAGGTAGCAGCCGGGGATCGAACCGGTGCTGCAGAGGCTGTGGGCAGCTTCGCAACCCAGCACTCAACTGCTGCGCCACCAGGGAGGCCCACCAAATCCTCACTATTACCTTGCTTTTCAGTTTTAGTCAAAACTGACTGTTGACCTCTGCCATGAGATTATTTTTTTTTTTTTTAAAGATTTATTTATGCATATAGGAGCTGGGGTACAGGCCAGAGGTATTGGGGGTGGGGGCGTGAGAGGATTCACCAGAGACATGTTGGGGAACAGAACAGGCAGATTGACTGAAATAGACTGCTGAAGGGAGCAGTGGGTGAGTCAGGAGAGGTCTGCTGCACCATGTGGGTAAGCACCCTGGCCAGGGATCGAACTCGTGCTGCAAAGGCTGTGGTCAGCTTCATAGGTTGTGTCTTAATCCCTTGCGCCACCAGGGAGGCCCTGCCATACATAAGATTGTATAGGTAGGAGGGGAGTCAGGATTTTACTGTGTGCTTGGGATCTTTTTTTACGACTCTAGCTGTTTGTTGCTGAATTGACTACTGAATATGTGTGAATTCATGTACATACCTGAGAAAACTGAGAATGGAATTCTGAGATCAGAGGGAATGGTACTGCCGGAGCCAATAGTAGAATATCTACAGCATATCCTACCTTTCTTTTCTCTCTAGCAGCACTGATCCTGCTGCCCATGAATTTTTTTTTTTTTTAAGCTAGGGCTACACTATAAGATCTGTCATTAAAATTTAAATTTTTATGTACATTTATTTTTTCTACTTTTTTTGTGCATTTGTGAAATATGGTGCATATTTTACTACAGATGTCAAGAAATGCTTTAGAGTGTGGGGTTTTCTTGTGGGTGTGAGGAAGAAAGGACAATGAGCTATTATTGCCTGCCTAGAGGAGTGACTAAAAAGACCAGATACAACATGAGTCCTGTGGTACTTAACTGCTCAGAGGACCGAGTTAGAGGGACCTGAGTTCTGGCCCAAAAGCCAGCTAGCTATTGGCAGTTAGAACACAGTTAATCATTAATGAGTTGCTGGAGTTGAGCAGGTCATTTTAATCTCCTTCATTTGGAGTTTATAAAATGTTAATATTGTGAAGATTAAATGAAACAAAGGGTGTAAATGCACTGGCTGACTTGTAGTTTATGTTCAACAATGTCAGCTGGAATTTTGTTGTTTATTACACTTTCCTATTAAGTATTGGTTTAATTGGGCTGGAACCAATTGCATGATAAAAACCATTTTTGAGAATCAGAATACTATAGCTGTAGTTACTTGGGATAAGTCATTTGAAGAAGGTTTAGAATTCAACGTTTTCTAAATTAAAATTTTAAAAATTAATTATTTAAGATAAGAATTTATAGAATGGACTTTTGGGGGTAGAACTGATTGTATCTTTGTATTTATAGTAATCTTTATTTTAAAATATTGAATAAATGGATTAGTATAAAGTAATGTAGGGAAGATTCCTGCTTTCTTTATCTGAATAATGAAACTTAGATTCTTCTATTTGAACTAACCAATCAATTTCATATTACTACCCAGAATATAGGAATTCAGTTTAGGTTTATTAACCCATACCATCATTTTGTTATAGTAATCTCATTTTAATTTTTTTCCTTCTGGTAAAAAGAAAGCAGTGCATTATTTTTGGTTTGCTTACATAAAGACCAAACTGTATTTCTGCAAGACTGTTCTTTAAATGTTGGTAAATTTTAAATTTAAAAAGTATGTAAATCTCAAAGTTTTGGATGTACTTTCACATACTTTTTCCATGTTATTCTGTGTTCATTTTTCTTTGCCTGATACATTCGTTGTTTAGAATATTCTTAATTGAGGATCATTCTAAATTAAAATTTGAAAAATTAATTATTTAAGATAAGAATTAATTTATAGAATGTACTGGTTGGGGAGGTAGAGCTGATTGCATCTTCTTATTTATAATTATCTTTTATAGTGTTTATTTGATAGAATTGTCTTCATTCATGCAACTAGAGTTCAGCTTTTTGTTTATTTGAAATAACTGTTTCATGACTTAACATATTTCTTAATTTTTGTACATGCATGCCAAATAAAAATTTCACAACAAAAGCATGCTTTTTAAAAATAAATATTCAAAGTTGTTTAAATATTTTTAGTGCCTGTCCTTTTAATATGCCACATGCACATGTTATTTAAAGTTTAGAAACTTCCAAAGCCATTTTATGCTGCAATTTTAAAAATTCAAAGAATATTCCCAAGGAAGAATCAACATTTTCTTGTCTACTGTTAATATTTATATTCCTTTAAGTTGTTAATATATCCACTCTTGTTTTTTAGACTTCATTTTTTTCCTTCATATCATGCTACTATCTAGCAAAGGCTTTTCAGTTTTCTGATTAAATTTGTTGTATTTTATATGCTAAATACCAGATTTAGCTTTCTTGAAAGTGAACTATAGGGCGCAAGGGATTAAAACCCAACCTATGAAGCTATCAGCAGCCACTGCAGCAGGAGTTCAATCCCCAACCAGGGAGCAACCCACATGGCGCAGCAGAATCTCTCCTGCTGCTCCCCTCAGCAGTGTATTTCAGTCAATCTGTCTATTCTGCTCCCCGCTCTGTCTCTGGTGAACCCTCTCACCCTCCATACCTCTGGCCTGTGCCCCAGTTCTTATATGCTTAATAAATCTTTTTTTTTAAAAAAGTGAACTGTAGATTATCAAGATTCAAATAGTACTTTAGAATTTTTTGATAATTTGTATAAATGATATTCTTGAAGTTCTCACTTCCACGTTGAACTATCATAGGTTTTCTTATCTGAATCAAAGGGTTTTGATTTTTCATTTGCTTTAAATTTGATTTTTCATTTGCTTTAAATTATTGTAGATGATTACATTAAGCAATGATACCATTAAATTAGCAAGCAAAATATTTTAACCTTCTTTTCAATAAATCTACAGACACAAGAAATAAACATCTTTGTATTAAATTATTTAATTAAATCGGAAGCTATGCTAAATCCTTTGTAAAGTAAAAAAAGACTATAAGAGTGTGGTTTCTTCAAAAGTGTTTTGTAATTTCCCTTGTTGATTTCCATTTAATGAATGCATTTCCAAATGCCAATTATATTTGACCAGTGGTTTTCTTAATCTCCTCCCCAATGTCTACATTCTAATTTGTATTATTAGTGATAAAATTATGTAATAAGATGTAAAAATTTTTTTGCTAATGCTAAGCAAGATGTTGACTACTTTTATGGAAACAGAAACCTTAAATGTGAGCATTTGCATATTCCTTTGCCATTAAATTTTTTTATGGAACTATGTACGAGTAGTCTGATAAATACGGACGTTTCACCAAAATGTTTCCCTTGTTAAAAACATTGTTTTTATTCTAGGTATTAGTCTTAAAATGTGTATTTTTTTTCTTTCTTCAAAATAGATGATTCATAATTATATGGAACACTTAGAAAGAACAAAACTTCATCAGCTCTCAGGGAGTGATCAACTTGAGTCCACAGCTCATAGTAGAATTAGGTAAGCTTTGTTATACATTTTTTGCCTTGAGGAAAATTGAAATAAATAATGTTTCTGTTTTTCTCTGTTCTCTAATCCTGAAGAATAGTCATGCAGATTCAAAAAGCTGTCTACTGTGGTTGGAATACAATAGGAGAGAATAGTATGGAAAAATAGAAACAGCCTTCACTATTAAAGGTGAATTGTGAGCTGGGCCCGATCAAGCAGCATATTGAGGTGTTTTGATTGTCTTCTAATACTTATTGGTGATTACATTACATTTTTCTGATTTCTGGAATGCTGAAAATTTTTTAATTCTCTTGTATAATTGGTTTAAAGTCCTTCTTGTTACAGAGAGACATGTTTGAAAGGGTTAGCTAGACATCTGTTTGATGTAGGAGTGCGAATAAATTATGTAGATCTCCAAGCATGGTAGCCAATCAGCTAAGCCTGGACTCTTAGAAGAGAGGAAAATAGTTAATAGGCTGGCAGTGGGCTCTGGATTGCTGCATAAATGCTAGGAGCAGCAGCTCTATGGTTAGGAGGTGGGGAGAGTGGGATGATGTCATCGATTCGGAGCTGCTGCAGGATGGAGTGGAAAGCTGCTGCTGATGGCATTGTTTTTGTGGCAGCAGCTGAATGACAGATCCTCACTACAAAGATATCCCTTTGGCCCCCGTGTAGGCCTCCTGGTTCGGGTGTTTCACCATGCCAGCACAGCGCCATGAGTCCTGGATGCATGCTGCTGTTTGTGTTTGGCTTTGTTGGCGGGGCGGTGGTCATTAATTCTGCTATCTTAGTGTCTCTCTCTGTTTTGCTGCTTGTGCACTTTTCTATTTCTACCGGTGTGCCAGCTCTGACGCAGAACCTACCAAGGATACTCAGGTACTCTAGTCTCTCTTAGAAGCCCCTGTTTAGTTTTTTTTTCTCAAAATTTTTAGCTTCATGGATCTGCTTTGTAACCATTTCTGTTGCAGATTGAAACAATAGAAAATGGCCTGAAGCTAGGATTTCTGTTCTCATTTGTAGTAATTTATAGGCTGTCACTTAGGAATATGGTTTTCTGTTTGGAAAGCACTGACCTAAGAAAAAGGATTTTCATATTGTACTTATACACAAGTACAAGGTCAGTGTGGTCTTTTTTAAACAGTATGTTCAAATAGTAAAGGGGAGAGCAAGAGCTTAGCATGGATCCAAGTTGATACAACCTTAGCGTTTAGCATTTGAGCATTTCATGGCAAATATCTTATATGCTGGGACTTGCTGTAAATAGATATAGGCCATAGATTTTTTGTTGTTGTTGTTCCAGTTATCTTTTGATTGATGGAGCCATCATATTTGCAATTTTTGTTAGTAGCTCGTGGGAATTTACAATTTAAATATTTTCCTTCTAAAACAACATGTATATTAAAATGAAAGAATTTAAGCCTTTTAAAGAATTTAAGCCCTTCCCCCCCCCCATTATTTATACATCAAAGTTGTGAAAGCTTTACAAAGCCTATTCACCATTGTATTGTCAGATGTTGTCCTTTCTTTGTAGACTTGGGTGACAAACCTTCATGCCTGCTATGGAGGTAGTAATTAATTTCTAGCTTTTCTTCTGTTCATTCTATTTGCACCCTGTAAGAACTATCTTCTACATTTTAGAGGTTTACCATTTTGGTTTCTTTTGTTTTCTAACTCGTTAAACTAAAACTATCTGATTTGATTCACATTCTGCTTTGTGAATGGCTTTAAATGAGATTCATGGTGAATAGCTTATATTATTTAAATGTTTACTGAAAATACTCAAATCCTAATTGTGGATTTGGATGAATTAAGATGAGTTAAAGTAGTAAATTCCCTCAAAGTGTTCTTTTTTTATTAACCATGACTCATTTTACATCAAACATTCATGTAAGCTCCAAAAATTAAATTTCATCTATGGGCTAAAACTAGATACTGAGTACTTATTTTGCTACCTGATTTTGTAAAAATTGGGGGAGCAACCATATTACATGTGTATATTTTAGTACATAAAAGATTTGTGTATGTATATATGTACATATAGGCATTTAGAAAAAGAAAAGCACATTAATTCAAGAATACCTATAACATTAAAATAAGACTAATTTTAAAGAGCTACCTTAGGTGTCAAGGAGGCAGTACTGTGCAGTGCCATGCAGCACTGTGTAGAGGCTCAGAGGCCTTGGAGCTGAACTGCCTGGGTACAAATGCTCTGCCACGTGAGCTGGAGAACCTTCGGCAATTTGTATAATCTCTGTCTGAGTTTCCTCTTCTGAGGCTCTTATTACTACATTGGGTGGTTTTAAAAGTAAAATTAGATTATTATTTTGTATTTAATCTGTTGAAAGATATATAGTAATTCAAACATGAAGTTTTTATATTCACTTCTATATATCTCATTTTTAGCAGAACTATTTTAGCTCCAGCTATTTTACTAATAATTTATGATTAAGTTCAAAAAGTTCCTTGACACAAAGTTTGCTATTGATATGTCTGAATATGAAGTTTTCAATATTAAGATTAAATTATCAACTAAATAGTTCCAAAGACCTTGGAGTTCATCAGGTCCAACTTTGAATCACTTTGGGCATCAGTTTTCCAAATCCGTACACTGGGAAAATAATACCCACTTCCTTACAAGAATTGAAAGAAATAATGTAAATAAATCATCCATCTCATTGTGCTGCCACACGGTGGATGTTGAACAAATGTACTCTGTCTTACGACTGTGTGTGTGTGAGTGTGTGTGTGTGTGTGTGTGTGTGTGTGTGTAAGTACAGTAGATTTTGTTAATGAGTGATTGTTTTAGATGTGAGGCTAGCAAAAATGTTTCAGAAGTATTTGTCAAATTCCTTCTTGTTAAGGTGTAACATTTAAATAAATAAAAATGAATATATGGAACTAAGGTAATTTAAAAGAGAATGTAACAAAATTCCGATAATTTATGGTAGTTTTGTTTCTAGACAGTAAGAGCATATTGAAACATTTGGAATATATATCTGCCTCTTGATATTTTTCCACATGTAGTCCATTTCTTGGTTTCTTCTGCCTGGGAGTTTTACTGAACCACTTAATACAGAGTACCCAACATGCACACAGATGTAGTACAGGACTAATGATCACTGTCAAGATTTCTTTTTGAAATTAGAATTCTGGTTGTCTTGCATAATTACATGACCTCTGTCTCCCTAACTCTTATCAATAAAATCAGTAATTTATCAATATAATGTGGAGAGATGTATCTGATAATATTTTTTCAGAGTTGGAACGATGTAGCCCATCATTGACCCTAATGCAGATACTAATCAGTCTCTCAAAAAGAATTCCCTCCCTGTAGAAGAGTTTCTGAATGGTTAATAAAAACAGTATGTTACATTTATTATTTATCCCATTAAATGCAGGTTAATTCAAATAAAAAACAGTATAAGGAGATGTGACTTCTACTTGTGTTTTTGGATTGTAGATTTAATTAACAGGAATAGGAATGTAAAAGTTGGATCTACTTCACTCTTCCCCTCCGTAGTTTTGTACTTTTCAGTATTTGCTTTGTGTGAAAATGAGTGCGTTGTTGTGTTACAATGCTTTTTTTTTTTTAAAGATTTGTTTATTTATACATACAAGAACTGGGGTACAGGCCAGAGTTGTGGGGGGTGAGAGGATTCACTAGAGACAGAGTAGGGATCAGATCAGGCAAATTGACTAAAATACACTGCTGAGGAGTCAGGAGAGGTCTGCTGCTGTTGGTTGCTCCCTGGCTGGCCTGTGGGTGAGCTTCATAGGTTGCATCTTAACCTCTTGTGCCACCAAGGAGGCCCCTGTATTACAGTGATTCTAATGACTGGTCTATATTTCGATTTCTGTTAGCAGTGTGATGGATTTGCAAGAAGTCGGTGTTATCTTACTGCTGTTTCTGTATTTTGAGTTAGAGAAACTCTGATTAGATTTTTTGTCACTTCTTTGCTTGTCGTTAAATTTTTTTTTTTTAAGTCATCAAGTAGCTCTTTGACCTTCAGTTTTCAGTTCCCCAAAATATATTCCCACCAAGTTGGAGGATTAACAAGATTGTATTTTATAGACTAGGACATTAAAACAAAATCCATACTCCAATCATTGTCACCATTATTTGATGCAAGAAAAGGCATTTTTCAAATTAAAGAAGTGGGAAAGATGGAGAAAAAGATTTGTCATTCTCAGGAAAAGATGCTTATATGTTATGTGGAAGTCTGTGTGTGTGTGTGTGTGTGTGTGTGTGTGCACGCGCATAACGTGTTATATTATTCAATAAGGATATGTAATAAATGATGCCTTTTTTTGCCATATACTTATGAAAACCTGGTTGTAGTTGGGAATAACTGGTATTAACAGAATAGTTGACTAGTTAATTTTTGTCATTTGGTGGTTTGGCAGTTTGTAGTTAAAAGCTTAGCTTTAGTGTTAAAATTTAGCCTTTTATGGTGCTGCCTGCTTGCATTTGAATTTTCCTCCCAATTAAGTAGAAAAGGTACTCTAAGTGTGAAGAAGTGACAAATAATTAATTCTAACTGATAAAGTCCCATTGTTTCCATTAAGTGCGTCTTCTGACGGTTTTACTCATCTTTTCAGATGATTTGGAAAGGAAAAGCAGAACACCCTTTGTGTGGAGGGCATGTTTCAAAAATAGGTTAAGTTTCTTGTATAAAAATGAACTTGTAGAACAAAATTTATTTGGCTAAACTGAATACTTTCCCACATTTATAACCTTCATGTTTTTATTACATTCTATTAGTGGAAGGATAAGTTCCAGGGCACCCCAAACCTTCTGTCTCTCTTTGTCACTTTCCATTCTTTTGAATTAATGACCCAGGATGACCTGTTAGTAGGCTTGTTTCCATCCTCTAAAAGCCCTTTCTTTGACTTGGGATCTTGTGTGCATCAATAAAGGATGTGTTTTGTTGAAATTCTATTTTCATTAAGATTACTAACTCTTATTCATTAAAATTTCCCATAAAGCACTGGGAATTCTATAGTCTTTTAAAGAATTTTTTGGCCTCGTTTGAAAACATTGACAATAGTTTCTCCTGTGTACTGTTTGAAGGAGCTTATTATTGATTCTATAGGAAATAGAGCTTTCAAAATTGTTTTTCCCTCATAGCTAACTGAACATGAGTTAAAATTTAGCTGCTTATTTCGCTGAGCATGATCCCCTTCCAGTGCCATCCATGTTGCTGCAAATTGCATGTGTTTATCTTTTTGAATGCTGAGTAATATTCATGGTATATATGTACCACATCTTCTTGATCCAGTCATCTATTTTGGGCATTTGGGTGTTTCCAAAGCTTAGCTATTGTAAACAGTGCTGCTATAAACATAGGAGTGCAGGTGCTCTTTGGAATTGATGTTTCTGTGTCCTTTGGGTAAATACCTAGGAGTGGAATTGCTGGATCATATGGAAGCTCTATGTTAGTAGGTCCAGAAATCTCCACACAGCTCTCCATAGTGTTGGACCAGTTTGCACTCCCACCAACAGTGCACAAGAGTTCCTTTTTCTCCACATCCTCGCCAACATTTGTTGTTGCTAGTTTTTTAATATGTGCCATTCTCACTGGTGTGAGATGGTATCTCATGGTAGTTTTGATTTGCATTCCCTGATTACAAGTGATGTTGAACATTTTTTCATATGTCTGTATTTGCATTCCTCTTCAGAAAGTTTCTTTTTAGCTCTTCAAGATGAGAAGATGAGACAAAATATTTGAATGCATGACCCCATTTCCCATACTGAAAGTTTCACAACCCAAAAGTAGGATAAAAAAAAAAAAAAAAAAATTTAGCTGCTCTTCTTACTATGTAATCAGATCACATACTGCTTCCTGGGCTAGGAACTCCTCAGTAACTTGTGAGCTATCCTAAATTGACTCTTGACTACTTTTCTTAGAGCTAATTTAAACTTCAGAGACTATTTTCTCTTTGAGAAGTCCACTTGTTCAGATATCTGATCGATGACTGTAAAGCAGTGACAGCTTAAGTTTATTGTTTATGGTCATGACAAATTAAAAATGAATGAATTTTACTTTTTCCCTTTCCTTTCCAAATAGAAAAGAACGCCCTATTTCATTAGGGATTTTTCCATTACCTGGTGGAGATGGATTGCTTACACCTGACACTCAGAAAGGTGGAGAGACCCCTGGATCAGAGCAATGGAAGTTTCAGGAATTAAGTCAACCACGTTCTCATACCAGCCTGAAGGTAAGCTTTATTCTGCCAAAAATCTTCAATTTACATTTTATAAACTTTCTTATCCAAATTGAAGTAACAACCAAAATGAACTAGTTTGCATACATTGTGCTTTGTAAAACTTCTTTTTAATTGGAAATGAACTATCTCTTCCCAAAGAGTTTTAGTTTTTGGCTATTGTTTTTCAAGTTAGGAAAACTTGTCAAGCATCATCACATCTTGATTAGCATACCAATAATAGTAATATTTAAAATTTCTATTTGACAGACTACATTATATAAATTTATGATAGGACAACTAGTGAATTTATTCTTACAGACTGAAAAATCACTGCCACCTGAAATTCTTCTTGGTTCATACTGCTGGAAACTTCACAACTACTAGGGTTTCACTTAAAAAAAAAAAGAAACAAAAAAACCCAAAAAAAAACCGGTTCATTTTTCAAAACATTTCATAAGGCAGTATCCCAAAGTGCATTGTGATTAACTAAAAAGTCATGGTGTTAATTCTTCACAGGCGATATTCTTGACCAATAATTTGTCATCAAATAAGTTATAAATAATACATAAATACAATATGTAAACAATATACTCTTGAGTGGAAAAATATACTAATAACTTTTTAAAAATATTTAAAGTTATATCTCAAACTGGAATATTTATAATGGAACTTTGTTACATAACAAAATCTAGTCTATCATAAAACAAATAAGCCACCTAAAATGAATACAGTGACTTACATCTTTTCTCCTTTTTCTTCCTCTCTTTTTCTCCAAATATTTATGTTTTAAGTACATAAGATAGTTTGTGTGATACACCTAAAATTCTAAGTCATTTATTTACTTACATTGCCTGTTTCTTTCCATTAAGAACATAAAATCCATGTGCTTACTGCTAGATCCCCACCACTTAGAAAAGTCCGGAGTACGGGCCTCCCCGGTGGCGCAGCGGTTGAGCGCTGGGTTGCGAAGCTGCCCGCAGCCTCTGCAACGCCGGTTCGATCCCCTGCTGCTCCCCGGCCACTGGAGGAGGGTCCCACATGGCACGCAGACCTCTCCTGCCTCCCGCTGCTCCCCTCAGCAGTGTACTTCGGTCCTTCTGCCTGCTCTGCTCCCTGCTCTGGCTCTGGTGAATTCTCTCACCCTCCCGCACTTCTGACTATACCCAGTGCTTGTATAAATAAATAAATAAATCTTTAAAAAAAAGTAAAAAAAGTCCGGAGTATGTAGTGGCCTCTCAGAACATGCTTGTTGAATGAATTACTTGTTTTACATGTTAGAAAGACTCTGGAGATAATAAAAATGGTCTGTTTCTCAGTTCTAGAAGGTAGAGGCATTTAGACTCTTTCCATTGGTCTTTGAAATGTGCTAAAAACAGCAAGCAATCAATAAAACTTTTAATAAAACAATCAAACTTTTCTCCCATTGCTAAGTATTTTAACAGTGTAAGGCCGACCTTACCTTTCCCCTTATCTTTCTCTTGTTGCTCAATTTGATATAAGCGAATCATGCACATGTATCTGGTATTAGTCCACTGCGATGCTACCAGGAAACACTCTCATTCTTTACTCCTACAGCTACTCTGGCTTTTGAAAACATTCCTGTAGGATTAATATATCTTCAGAAACACCCGTCCCTCAGTCGCCTACATGCTATGTTCCTTTTCCCAAACAAAATTAAGTAGGAGGGATATTTTTAGTACATCAGAAATGTATGCCATATGGTAAATATATTTTAGCTGCTGTCCCAAAAAGGCACCTTAAGGGAAGATTATTATAATTCTCTAGTTATTTAACCCAGTGACATGCTGTGACAGAACTTTACTGACAAGTTATTAACTGATTAACAGATTATTTATATGGCGTTTCATCTAGGAGTTTTTAATGTCCTCTAGAGATACAATACCACAGAGGGTTTCTAAAATAAAATCCTGTCTTTTCTCTGGACATGGGGTTACTAAATGAGATTAAGATTCAACAATAAAGGAATTCCAGGAATGGAGTGGTATATTTCAAAATGGGAAAAGTCCAGTTTATAAAGTATATCTAATAATTAGGGCATGTTTTATTATTGACCTAAGTGAGCCCTTATTATTAACTGGAGATGTCTTCTCTAACTTTTCTTTTATAACATTTTATTTTATATAATTCTTACATCATTTTTCATTTTTGCACAATGTATGCATTTTCATTTTGGTTATATTCCCCATACAATTGCACTCCCCTCTTATTTTGACCTAGTCCTTCCTCTCCCTGCCCCTCCCTGCCCCCTGTCTTTCTCTAACTTATAAGAGACTGGTTGTTGTTGAGGGTCTCAGGTTTTCTTGTGGACTGTATTGTGCAAGTCTTGGTATCCATGTGTGACAGAAACTGAACTAGACAATGTCTAGTCTACAAGTTTCATTTCTCTGAGAATTGGGGATGACCTAGCTATACTTAGAGGTTTGTCTTCATTATGAAACAGTTGAAGGTGAGAATTATAATCAATATTAATTTTACTAGCACAACTTTTTTTTTTTTTAAGATTTATTTATTTATGCAAGAACCGGGTACAGGCCAGATGTGTGGGAGGGTGAAAGGATTCACCAGAGACAGAGCAGGGAACAGAACAGGCAGACTGACAAAATACACTGCTGAGGGGAGCAGCAGACATGACAGGAGAGGTCTGCCACGGCATGTGGGTTTCTTCCTGGCGGGCTGGGATTGAACCCTGCCCTGCAGAGGCTGCGGACAGCTTCACAGTGCTTCATAGAGCGGCGCTCAACTGCCTGCGCCACCAGGGAGGCCCAAAAGAATAACTTTTTTTTTTTTTGTTTGTAAATATTTTTAATTGTATTTTTAAAATAAATTTTATTTTTATATTCCCCATACAATTGCAACCCCCTTATTTTGACCCCAGTCCCTCTCCTCACCCCCCATAGAGTGTCTCTGGTTCATAGTTTTTTGTTGATTTTGATTTTCACTTTCTTATAGTTATTCATATTCCTGGTACCTTATTTAAGTTTTCTAGATTCCTGCTATGAGTGAGACCATCCGGTATTTTTCTTTTTCTTTCTGGCTTATTTCGCTGAGCATGATCCCTTCCAGCTCCATCCATGTTGCTGCAAATTGCATGTGTTTTTTTTGAATGCTGAGTAATATTCCATGGTGTATATGTACCACATCTTCTTGATCCAGTCATCTGTTTTTGGGCATTTGGGCTGTTTCCAAAACTTAGCTATTGTAAACAGTGCTGCTATAAACATAGGGGTGCAGGTGTTCTTTGGAATTGATGTTTCTGTATCCTTTGGGTAAATACCTAAGAGTGGAATTGCTGGATCATATGGAAGCTCTATGTTTAGTAGGTCCAGAAATCTCCACACAGCTCTCCATAGTGGTTGGACCAGTTTGCACTCCCACCAACAGTGCAGGAGAGTTCCTTTTTCTCTACATCCTCGCCAACATTTGTTGTTGCTAGTTTTTTTAATGTAGCACAACTTTTTTGTGAGAAAACCACATGTAGGCTTATAACCAAGCAAGCAGAATGGTAAAAAAAACTGGCAGAAGAGTGACAGCACAGGAGATTTGCTAGTGGTTATAGTTATGGACCTTCTTTGTTGCTATGTTGCACACTTCTCACTGTGAGAGAGTTACAATCAATAAGATTATATCTTCAGGTATTGGAAAAATCTTCCAGGAATGGTACACCTAGAAAAATGTGCAAGTTGTCCTTAAAAAGAAGTCTTTGTACATATTATTCCCTTTTCATATTCTTGTGGGGAATATCAATAGACAAGTAAACAATTGAAATAATAGAATTGCAAATATTGTTATATACTATTAAAAGAAAACAAGGTAAGGGATTAGGGCATATTCAGTAGGAAGAAGAGCTTATTTTATGATGGTAAAGGAAGTCCTCATAGAGGAGACGACTTGTACCCTGACACAAGGGATGTGCAGGTGCATGAGAACGTTTGGAGGATTGAGTGTTTCAGGATAATCAAGTAGCATCTGTAAAGGCCCTGAATGGGAACAAACTTTGGCATGTTTGAGAAGTAGTTGTTTTCTGTTCCTCCCACTGCTCTGAGGCTTTCAGTTCTACCTGCTGCACTGACGTGTCTTTTTCTCTGGGTCACCAAAAACATCCATCTTTCTAAATCTATTGCTTAATTCTCAGTCTTTACCCTATCTTGTAGCAGCATTTGACACATTGGAGTCCTTTCTACTACTTGAAATACTTCACTTTGTTCCCAGGTCACCTCTTCTCCCTCTACTGCTTCCCCTATGGGGCCCATCCCTTTCCCTCTCCACATCACTAATTTTCTTCACTGCTCCTTTCCTTTGCTGGTCCTGAACCTTTAAATGTTGGAGTTCCCCAGCGATTTGCATACAGCCCACCTCTACTTAATCTGAGAAGCTCAAGTTCCATGTCTGCAAATGCCATCCACACAGCAATATTCACAAATTTTTTTTTTATTATTTTTTTTTTTAAAGATTTATTTATTTATACAAGCACTGGGTACAGTCAAGCGCGGGAGGGTGAGAGAATTCACCAGAGCCAGAGCAGGGAGCAGAGCAGGCAGAAGGACCGAGGTACCCTGCTGAGGGGAGCAGCGGGCGGCAGGAGAGGTCTGCGCGCCATGTGGGACCCTCCTCCAGTGGCCGGGGAGCAACCGGGGATTGAACCGGCGCTGCAGAGGCTGCAGGCAGCTTCGCAACCCAGCGCTCAACCGCTGCGCCACCAGAGAGGTCCCATATTCACAAATTTGAATATCCAACCGTGACCCCTTCCTTGAACTCTAGACCTCTGCATTCAATTGCTTTTCTTTATAATTTTCCCACAAATATATTTGTATCCTGAAAAACCATCTTTCAGGGCCAATCTCTAAATGCCAGAGTTTACAAGAAGTCTCAGCCATTGATGTTCTTCAAGTTTAGGGATCTGTTCAAGGCCAAAAGCAGAAGAGGTCTTTTTATTGTATCATTAGCAGAGATTGTTAGGGATCTTCTAGTGAAATTGGTAAAAAGCAACTTCT